CATCTGGTTGGTGATAGGTCATATCAGTCTGTTAGATTAGGACTTACCGATCATTATTTTTTATCAAGACCTATAACAAATGTACAAATAAGCGATAGTAAGGGCTCAGGAGTCTCAGATCCTGGGATAATCCTTATCTGGTGTTCACAAGACTTTCATCTCGATGTTGTGTCTTGTGTCTGAGAAAACACACCCATATTGAATCTCACCAGGCCGCCCTGCATGGGGCACCCAGAAAGGCTTGCCAAAAATGCAGTCCCTCCCACTCTGAGGATTTCGCAGGGAGGGAGGGCTCTATTTCTGCATCCAGCCATAGATGCAAAACCGACAGCCTTATAATCACAATCTAGAGGATCACTCTGACATAAAAAGGGACCAAATGGCCTCATTAGCGGCCTGTGTGACCAGTGCTTAGCCAGAGCTTCCCTGTTTTAACTGGTTTCAATGGGAAAGAGATTGCAGACATTAGAACAAGATTGCGTGTCTGATAAGCCATAAAGAGCCTGGAGCACAGAGCCATATACAGCAACACATGGATACATATGGGGAATCCACAGTCTGCTGGTCCCTGCTAATCAATACCTGCACTTGAAAGGCAGACCTTTGAGCTGCTCTGTGTACATTTGAAGTTTCTCTTTCCATTTGCCACCTGTCTACATAGACCAGATTTTATCAGTCCCCTGAGTGGTCTTCTTGTGCATGGCAATTTTCAATCTTTCGACTGTACTTGAAAGGCAAACCTCTAAGCTTGCAATTTTATCCTACATACATCAAGTTCTCCTTCTCTTTTCAGGATGATCTTTGAAAACATGCAGAAGTCTTTTGCTGTGTCTGTTCCTCTAAGCCAGAAATGCTAAACCTGACTGTATTCTGGCCTCCCTGTTGGAATGGAAAGGTCACACAGGTTGTGCCCCATGGCTCTGATTGGATAAGCTCCCCTGGGAAGCCCCACTCAACAAAAAGCTGGTTAGATCACATGAAAGAATGAGTGATGTACATGTTCTTTGTTATGTTGAGATGGCCTTGATGCATTATAATACATCACAGTGATACCCCATTCATCACATAGTCCTAACCCTATAGACTATAGAGCAAGGGCTTTGTCATATTGCAGATTTCGATTTTCAGTATTTTTTAACTACATGAACTACATCACAAAATAGAGAAAAGGTTTTGAAACAGTTTTGCTGATGTTGATTGCTTTGGTTGTAGATGAATGGAAATTTTGGCATGAATTTCTTATTTTGTGAACACATATTTTACTATTCATGTTTACGGACATATAGCATTTTGATACCTTTTGTATACAAATGTTATCTATGAGAAAAAAAAAAGTAGAACATATGGATATTATGATGAAAATGTTGTAAACATCGGTTTGAAAATGATCAGTGTAGTATCAGAAGGCTCAGATCTCCTGGTGAGAGTGGGAGGGGGACCCAACTAGGTGTTAATCCCAGATTGTATCACTGTGAAGAGGTGGGCTTGAGCTTTTCCCACCTCCCATTCTTATGTCTAAAGACTCCCATTGTCAATGAGCCATGTGCCAAGTAGGTCATTACATGCATCATTAACATTGTCAGTTGACAGGGATGTGTGAAGTGCTTCCCTTGGTGCCCTTCAGTTCAACCAAGGAGGTTCAATCTCATTGGTTCAACTTTCTAGAAGGCTCTGTGATTTATGTGCTAAAGGTTGTAGTTTCACAAGTAGATCCTATTCTAGTTGTACAGGATATTCAATACTCCCACTTGCAGAAGTGTTGTATAATTTACTATTATATACAAAGGTTGAAACAATGACATTTGTTGTTTCACTGGTCAATGGAGTTTCTATTGAACTGTGGGAAAGATATGTAGCAAGAAGTCCAGATGTGACGTTAAGTGCATTCTGAGGTAACACTTGTCCATTCTAGTTACAGCATGCAGAAAAGCAGATTGTAGTGGCCTTAGCTTCTACTCTCTAAGTTCTAGCCCCTGCTAAGTTCCTCTGTGGGGGTGTAGTCCCATGTGAGTTATCCTGTAGACTTCAGCAAAAATGCACAGCTATCCTTGACTCAGTTCTGGCAGGTTTAAGATCAGGCTTCCTGCCAAAATGATTATTGCCTTATAACCTTTTACCTCTCCAAGGCTGGCTGAGAGTCTCTACTAGCCAATTTACAAGCAGAAGGAAATTGAACACCCGCCCACGCAAAAACCTTTGTCAAGTCCAGCTGCAGTGTATAGATTCGTATTTCAGCCCGGGAAGGTAAATTAGACATTTGAGAAATTCCTGTTCTCATACAGACTGTGATGAAGGTCACAAAAATACCCTCCCCACTTCCCTTGAGGCCTTGTAATGTTTGCCCAGCGAGTGTTCAAGTGCATTCCGCCTGTGTTTGCTCACGTCCTTGATATATGGCCCCACGCTGGCCCTGCCCTGTCCCTAAATTATGAACAGGGCACCAAACTTCATTAACCTTTCTCTCCCTTCCTAACCCTGTAACCAAAACAGCTTTGGTGAAAAAAGAAAGCCACCTCAGCAGAAGGATAGTCCAGTTTGTAACCAATCTGTCATGCTCAGAAAATAGTCCAACCATTTGTATTTATCTATTAATGATTGTTAACCAATAATCAATATGCTTTGTTGTCATGGCAATGGTTGATAATACTGATTGTAACAGGTATAGATAGCTTTTACGGTTGTGTGGTATTTTAGAACTTTATTGTCCTAACACAGTTTTCAAATCTATCATCACATCGAGAAACAGCTTTGTTTTTAAAAAATAGTCTTTGACTAGTTTGAGGGTTGTTGTGACATGTAGGCAAGGTGAAATCAAAGTGCATGTAGCGTCAAAGCCCGCCACTTTGAGGTTTAGCTGTAACAGATGTACTTGTAACCCAGTGGTGCGTGGACCGTTGGCGGGACTGTGTATTTTTTCCTGACAGACTGACTGTTAAATGATCCATGGTGTCAACAGGTCACCCTTTTTCTGTGGTAACTTGTGGTTCACACCTGTGTTAAGTCAACATGCCCTGTACTGTGCCATAGCCGCAAGGTGGCAACCGAAATATTGTGCCCTGATAAAGAAAGGTTAACCTTGCTGAGGGAGTGCACCAGTCTACTGTTAGTCCTGGCCAATTAGACATTGTTAGAAGGCTTTTTGTAGCAGCACCATTTTGTTTGAATCTATTACATGTCATTGTGTAGCCTGTATATCGACATTTTCATGTGGCATTTTGCAAGAAGCCACTAAGGACTGTTGACAGTAATAGATAAAGAGAAGAAAAAGATAAGTTGAATGAATTACAGAGATAACAAAATAGGTTTTATGTTTAAATAAATCCTTTATTATTTGAATGTATATCAAAATATAAGCAATACAAAACAAACATTTTCCCACGTTTCAAAATTATTGCTTTGCTAAGTTAGAGGAAATTTCTTTGAGTACACATCGATAACATACCAAACATTGCAAGCGTAACTTTACCATAGTGTAAAGTGCGTACTTGATACAGATTTTGTCAATATTAGTGTTTATTCAGTGTCCTTCTCACATTCCCTTATGACGTCAGAACTGCAAGTCCAATGTCTAATATAAAAACCGCTACCATATTTGGATGTCTACAATTCAAACTCGAATACAGTGTAAATAATTTACGCTTGAGTAATCTTCATGCTATCCTACTTGGTATGTTAAGAAGTTATAAGATTCTTTGTCTGCAATCTTTCATATCCACCCCTTTGTCAAATATTATTCTAACCTGATTCCCACCATTGCTTTTCTATCCTACTCCTACAATGTAAGTCAGCTGTAAGTGAATGTGATCCCTTTCTTTATTCACTTTCTCCCCCACACCTTTGTTTTGATTTCGGGTGTCCATGATCTACCAGATAACTTTGCATGCACATGAGAAGTTGTAGAGATGTCACTGTTCAGTAGTCTAAGATATGTGTGTACGTAAAGTGCATTCTTGGTCCAAGTCCCTGTTTTAGATACATTGCATGCTTCAGACATTCTGCAGGAAGGGGCTCCTTCTATCTGCCAAGTGTCTCTTTTCTTGACTGTAAATAACACATGACAAGAGGAAGATCAGTATGAATGGATCACTGCATTGTCACATGGCTCGACTCTGTGACACTGGCTTTTGTTTGAGGAATCATTGTAATCTAATAGATGCTACATTTTATAAGCCTACCTGTGAGGTTGGATGGTAGCTTGAGTTGCGGTTGATGACACTTGCCCTAGGTATTTGTTATTTTTATGGTTCATATATATTACACATATCAAATTATATTACCTCTTTCCCTGGTCATATAAGTCTTATCAAAACAGCATTTTTACAGTTTGAAATAAGCTACAAAAGCACAATTTAGACTACTTCTCTTATAAATCCAGTCCTTTTACGCTCCTGTCTAACTCTGAGTTGAAATGGGGGCTGACATTGACAGACATGCATTTGACCTTGTATAGGCAAACAAAAATGGTGGTCTGATGTATTACAAAGAACACTGACCCCGGGGTTTGCTTGGAACAAGAGCCTCTGCTTGCACTACCATTTACTGAAAGGTTATCCCTAGCAGTGATAAAAGGGCGTGCACCCTGTGTGTGAAAGGCGGCCAGTGTGCAGGCTAATTTAAGATGCATGTAGGGACCCCACAGAAATAGCAAACTGGGTCATAAAGGTTCAGTGGTAGACAATCACTTTCTGTCTCATTGATACCCTTCTGTTATATATTTCCTGGGTAAAATAGTCAGAATGCAGCATGCATGTGTTACGATATCCCTCGTTTGAACAGCCAGACCCTATGTCGTGCTGACACGTGCGATGTATGTAGAGGGATTATGAAATAATAAATATATTACATTCAACATAATGGTATCTGCTAATTTGAAAGTGGCATGAACACCTATAAATGAAATACTCTTTGTCTTGTTAATATCATAAATAAGTTAAGTTGTCTATATGAATCACTAAAAAACAAGACTGCAAGCTCATTTTTCTCCCCTTTCTGTTCCTCAGATTCCAGTGACATAGTGAACGGAAAGTTAAAGCTGATCCTGGGTCTAATATGGACGCTGATCCTGCACTACTCCATCTCCATGCCCATGTGGGAGGGAGACGACGAGCCCGCCGCCAAACAGACGCCCAAGGAAAAACTCCTCGGCTTCGTGCAGGCCAAGGTGCCCGACCTCCCCATCAAGAACTTCAACAAGGACTGGAACGATGGCAAGGCCTGCGGTGCCCTCGTGGACGCCTGCGCCCCTGGTACGTGCCCTAAGATATCTTACCGTCTACTCTCATAGTTCCGCTGGGTTTGCGATTGCTGCATTAAAAAAATCTAACTAATGCAGCATCAGTAATCCCTGAGGTCTGGACACTTCAGATAACCAGGTGTTCAAGACATTCTCCATGTTGATGACACCATCTTTTTTGATATGGCAGTCTGAAGGTACCCAGCAGAATTATGAGACACTTATGTTTGACCTAGACCTTGACGTAGAAAAAAGAAATCTGAAGTGCAGACACATGCATCACAAATCCTCTCCCTCCTATGAATGAAACAACTGTTACTGGGTAAACATTCAGGTGGTCCAACTTTGCCCTCTGAAGGTTGAACACGCACAAAAGGACAGGCCAGTGTTATCTGTGAGTGTTTGTTTGGTGTCGCCTGTGTCAAATTCTCTCTTTGTAGGAACCATTCTGTCAATGTCTGATGACAGATTTGACAGTGACTGTCTACCCCTGTTTTCTGGTGGTAACAATACATTTAATACAGGTGAAATACTAGACTTTCGGAATATAACCAAGTGCCAATTTTGACACACCTGAGCTAGAAATCCCTGCTCATTATCTCAAGGTTAAGTTGAAGGTGAAGATGTTGAAAGCTCCTTAGGATGTTCGTGACCTTGTCTTGCAAAGTGCTTAAAAGCTCAGGAACAGAGGGCGTTTTCCAGTTGCATAATCAGGACCTTTGTATGGATCACCAACGCCTTTGTCTGTGACCTCCCCCTCAAAAAGAGGCCCCAAATCGCAGGAAACATGATCGTTCTGAAGGGCCAGCAGAATTCCACTTGCATTAGCTCAGTGGCTTTGACATTCTAGACCACTTAGTGTGAGAACTTGTGTAATGGAAGACTGTACCATTTGCTTAGGACTATTCCATTTTGAATGGGGGTATAGAGAAGCTTATTTCGACCCCTTTGAACTTTTATAAACACTAATTTTGCTTTTAATTAAAGCCAACAAAAACAACCACTTGTCACTAACAAAGGCTTATGTGTGCTGCCAACCTTCAACAACACGATGAATAAAAAAGCCCTGTCAAAAAAAAAAGGTGGGGCCACACTTTGGTCTTATTGGAAGAACCTGTCCTTGACAAATAGACAAATATAAAAGCAATGTTTTGGATTGATTTGTTTTAGAATCATCCAATTACAATCACTATCACATAAGTAGAATCCATAAACTACAAGACCTCTGATAATGCAAGATAGGAGTTTTGCTTTATAAAAATATAAGAAATGCCAGAAGTTTTGATATAAACATATTAAGAATCCAGAGAAAGTCTTCCAGCACCACCATGTCATCAGCAATTGGACAGAAACATTTGGAACTGAGAATGCATCTCAATCAATTAGCCGACACGCCAAAAGCAAACTCCCAGGCTTGTCAACCTTTTTACAGACGCTCTAATTATCCACGATCACAGGCCCAGCCCATGAGTGACAGTTGACCCACAACCCAGTACTTGTAAACAGTGTCAGCCCTGATGTTGCTCAGGACGTGTTTTATGTCCCCCTGTATACAAAGCAGGGGCGTTTGCCTAGCTTGCCCAGCCGTGACCAAACAAGGTCACTGACACAGAAAGCCATTGTCTGACAGTTTGGCATTATTGTGGAGTTTATTCAGGGGCTACCACACTGCTGGTGTTCTAGGATACAGGGAGGTAGTACCAACCCACGCACCAAGTGACTCATGTGCCAAAAACGCCCAGGAATTGAGTTGTGAAAAACATGACAGGGTTTTATATGGTGACCTTTGGGTCTGTCGGGAAGCGTTTGTTCATAGGGCGTGTACTGCAAAACGCCAGGGCTGTCCTTGTTTACCAGACTGGAGAAAGACTAATTATGCTCTTCTGAAGCCAGCGACTGCATATCATTTGGGCAGTAGTATCCGTATGCAAATTTTACTTGTGCGCCTGCTGTACTAGCTTCAGCGGGAGAAGGTTTAATGAATCGTACTTGTAAAAAAAAGTAGTTTGTTCCTCGGTATTTGACATTTTAAACTTTGCTGGCACAACTGTGCACGTGATCGCCCGGGGGAAATGAAGATTGATTTGTAAAGTTTTGACATTCTTGCTTGGCAGATATTTTCTGCTTGCTCAAGCCTGTGACTGTATCTATCAATATCAAGCAGACATCGTATTGCACCATGCACAGTTTGATACTACAATGTATGAATAACATTAAACCTGTTGCTTTTCTACAACTGTCAAATGGAATATCATTGCAGTAGTGGACAGTCATTCAATATTTGAAAGCAATGTACAAATTTTGCAATTTGGACAATTTTTTAAGACAGTAGAAATGAGACATAAAAATAATTGTTTCAAAAGCAGATTTTGATGTATCTTTCCTTGTTATTTTTGGGACATATCACATCCATTTGGATAAAAGTCCTAATCAATACAATTCAAATCTGGATCAAAAGCCCACCTCACACGCACTCACAGGCGTATGTTGCAGTTTTATATTGATTCAATGCATAACATAAAATGCTAGTGATTGAAGTTATAAATGTATAATTCAGTCATAGATTGTTCAGCTCTCAAGTTAAATAGCTTCTCTACATCAGTTTGTTGTGACCTTGGCTGTTAATGGGAACAAAAATAGCAACATTCTGTATAATCTATTTGTGTAAAACTGGTATGAGTTAACAGTTAAAGGCAAAGACACAACACAAAGCCATGCTTTAGGTATTTTTAAAAAACAAACTTTAATCGAAATAGCATCAGCATATGCCATGATTATACATTGTATACTGGATTGTGCCTGACCCAAATTTATCTTTTATGGAACCTGGGACTTTGAAGCTTTTCCAAATCCTGCTCCAGTTGTGGAGGACAAACATGAGGCAAACGTTCGTCCTTCTCACCCAAATGCTTGGAATAGATTTATTCTCCCATGAAGGGCAGAGTATGGACATGGTACCACGCCGCCATGTTGGTCCTGGTGTTCAGAGAGTATCCAGTTTCAGGCTCCGCCCCTCTGCTTCATGTAGGACTGAAAAAGGAAAACACTTAAACAGTCTAGACAATTTGAACTGCTGTAAAGGGTAAGATATCCTGTATAAAAATGAAAAACTCAGGGGCTGTTCCAACCTTCCTCCCTCTTTCCACTTCAATTTACACATAAGTAGTACTATTTTTAACATTTCAAAAGTTTTTTTTATATATTTATATGTATCAGGTATCAGTTATTTGTGCGGAGAGGTATTTTTGGACAATTAAAAGAAGAAAATTATGGTCCAGACACTAAAAAGAATATCATTCTGCTGAATAAACAATAGTGTATGAAGTAACAACACAAATCTGTTTTTAGTCTGGATGCACCAGTGGTATTGAATGGGAAGTTAAAGATTGATGTTCTGGCCTGTTGCCATGGTTTCCTGGCCTGTTGCCATGGCATTGAGTGTGCAGTAATGACTCATAATGGTCTGCTGGTGCCAAAAAGTTGGGAGGGGCTAACAAATTTGTAAAGAGTGCAATATATAGTCCACCCCATCTCTTGGTAAACATCAATGATTATATTATTGAATATCTACTTCATTCCATACTGAAACAATTATTGCAGAACTGTTAAGATTTCTGCAGGTAAAATTGTTGCTCTTCCTTGCTCTTCAATATTTTTTTCCCCTGCAATGGTTCAGTACAAACAGGTCCTAGAATTCCTGACTTTAGAAGTATTTTCCCAAGAATTTGTTGTTTACTTGGTGGTCCTTTCATCCGGTGTACCATTCGGCTTTATTCATCTTAAAAATTTTTGGGTCAGTAACTTGTGTTTGAGCCAGGGGTTGCTGGTGAGATCAGAACAGGCAGCTAGCTTTCCTGTCAGTTTCAGACCAGACTGCACCAGTTCCAATAAAATATCCCAGGTTGTGGCTCTCCAGGCACAGTGCCAAGTGGGACTAGCTGTGGGGCCTCCATGCCAAGGGACCAGCAGGGGAAGTCTGCCTTACATCATCCATATTCTTTATAAAGATTTTGAAAATCACTATTGCATATTAAGTATATATGTCGATAAAATTAGTTCGATACAGCTAGGTAAACCACAGGTCCCGAAAGTAAAAAAAGGAAACATTGAAACATTGCCAACATTTTTATTTTTCTGCAGTCATCAAAATGATTCTGCAAATCGCAGGTTGCCGGACCAGTGGAAACAATATTTCCCTGTTCTATGACTTAGTCTAGGAGAGGGATATTAGGATGAACAGAAAATGGGACTCCTACCACTGTATAGTACTATGACGATTTTAGTACTGAATGCAAATTAAAGTAGAAACATTGGCAGGTGTAAAATTTCCATAATTAGAGTGGGGGGGGGCATGTTCTCTTTGCTCTGGAAGCTGTAAATAGTCCATGTTCGGCCAGGAGATCAGTGTTTCAAAGGGGGAAAACAAGACCAAATGTCAGGAGGGCAGCATCCGTTAAGGAGTAACACTTTCATCCTGTGACACTGCCGACCGTCCACATCTGTGTCAATGAAGCTGCGAGACATGGAAACCTCACGTACAACACGCTGCATGTCATGTGCTACACGCTCTCCCCCTGACATACTTGGTGCGGAGGCTGGAAGGGACAAACATGCCTGTCTCTGTATCTGTTACTCTGCTACTGAGCTGTATTTGCACTGTGAGGTCACTCTCTGATACTATATGTAGGCTCCTCCTGGCTCAAACACTCTTACATGTATGGATCCATAGGGCAAAATCTAATATCAGAAGTCTTTGCAAAGAAAAATCAGATAATCTTATTACGTCTATAAAATGATAGCTGAAAATTGTTCCATATGTTTATCAATTTATACTAAAATTAATGACTAGTTGAGTCATATTTGGAAATGTACCCCAGGAGCCATTTTAAAGTCATATCAAGTTTCTAGTGACACCTAATAAAGTTGACTTTTCTGGTTCAAACTGGCTTAACATTCAGTAAATTATAGACAGACTTTGTAAACACAACGAGGAGGATTTGGGGCGAATTGTTCAATCGGCTAGAGCTTGGAGTTGGAGGTTCCCCAGCTGGTACCGGAAACTTTCATCAGCACCGCGCTCTCCGAATTCTCTGGCATCGTTCCCATGAATTATCCAGACGGTTGTCCTTCAAACCTCCTCTAACCTTTTATCCCTGACCCACATGTACGGCCCACGAGTTTCAAGTTCTCCCCCCACCCAGCAACCCGCGGTCCTGCTCGCCAAACCTGTTCTGTCGTCATGTCCTGTCCTGGAGCAGAGCAGAACAAACATGTCAAGTTGGCATCCAGACTTGTCTGGCTCAGTTCCTCGCCTACATTCTGGCATTACCTTCTTAAAGACACCGTAAAGATGCTGATTTCACCCCCCATTAGCAGAACAGGGGATACAAGCTCTTTTGAAACTTTCCCGTGTGTCCGCACCACTCTAAGATGCACCCCCATATCCAACACGTCTCGCTGACCTGGAATAAGTGACCAGGGATGTTCTGTGTCATGCCAGCCTCTAGCAAATTAGTGATGTTGAAAATTCCTTGGAATTACCGTCTTGAAAGATTAACGCGATGACCCCTTAGTTGGATGGTGCATATAGATACCCTCTTATCCGAACTGAAGACAGAGGGATGCCTGATTCTCCCATGTATCTAGGATGAGTTGGGCTTTTGTGTTTCCAAGCAGAGAAAAAAAGAGTCCATACCTGGATAACAGATATTAAGGGGATGACACCTTTCAAGAACTACTTATGGCACAAGAAGCTTTGATCTGTATATTCCTGGGTGTGCCTGCAAACCGCCCACCCCCATACCAACATGAGGGCCTATTAGAGGCATTATCCTCCTGTCTTGGACAGGCCCTCAGCCTTTCTTGAAGAGTGATACCCTTGGAAAGGTTCTTGTTTAAATCTTGTCGCACTTCATAAAACTTAGCAATACCCCATAGGGTTGAATAGCAACATGTGATAATTCTGAAACCTTGGATGAAATTCTGAAATATAATGCAGCTGAATCACAGCCTTGACATGCAGGAGATTACAAACTTATTGATAAGTCTGGGTCTCAAACAGGTGCAGACATTAAATTGTAGACACAGACATTAATTAACTCTTCTACTGCCATGGCTGATGAGAGCAAGGCCTAATAATATGCAGCTCTTGGTAGTTGGAGTATCAAAACCCCAAAAAAGTCTTCTACATTGTTTACTGTTATCATGAGTGAGTGAATGGCTCCAAAATATTTCTTGGAAAAAAGATGTTGTCTTGTCTACATCCACTTTGCTTTACTTTTTGACCAGAAGCTCATCTCTTAGTCAAGATAAATACATGCACAAGCTCTTTCTAAGGAACTGCCCCCCTCCCCACTTAGTAACCCTTCATACCAACAACAGGAAGGTGACATCTGAGCCGGCTCTAACATGTAAATACCTGTCCTTGTACGGAGACACCGCCGGTTCCAAACATTCCCAAAAATCTTTTGTTTGCAATTATCAGACTGAGGAATTTTGGTCCCCGGCACATTTGGTTTTTTGACTGCTCCTTTGGGGCCCGGCCAAAAATACACAAGTTCAGTGCCAATGTTCCTGCTTGGGTCCAGTGTCTAAGAATACGATGTGTGTTAATCTCTTGTTCAGTATTAATATGTGAGTCATGACTCATTCAATACCAAAATTAAATTTAAAGGTAAAATGAATCAGCTTTTATGATGACATCCGTGGACACAGATGAACTTTCATGCGAATGTGTGAGATCTGTTGATGTGCACAATGTATATGCACTGCTAACTTGTAACTAGCCTGACTGCATATGCTAGTACCCACCTAACTAATTATAACCAATCCCCTAGGGGGGAAGGAGGCTCACAATCAGCCCCTGGCAGAAAGGGATTGTGCAACACAGGCTAGCTTGTTTGTGAGGTGATACACTGAGCCAATGGAAGGGAATTTTGACTTAATTATGCCTTACTAAAGTGACAAACATCTCAACCATGAACTCTAATTCCCAAAGGGGCCTCCCTTCCAAGGTCACTGCTGAGCTCATGCCCAAACATGACTCCCCCATGCAAACATGAAACCACTTCTATAGTACAACCCATCAGTATTATTTTCGTAGTAATGGTTGCTGATAGGTCTGGTTACCACGAAAGAATCAAAGCTAGTGTTGCAGTTTTAATGCTTTGTTTTTATTCATTTACATACATGTGCAAATGTAGAGCTGTATCCTTACACAAGGTCGTCACAAATTCAAATGCTTGCTGCTTGCATTTCTCAAAATGACATACATATGATATAGGCAAGAAACAAAATATAGAAAAAAATGCTAATAGACAGCAATTATTCCTCTGAAGATATTAATATCACACATCAAAACTTGACTCAAACAAGGCAAACAATACAGATTGGCATGCCAGGCTTCTTGAGAGTGTATAGAGCACATGCTATAGGTCAAGATCAAAGAGGAACTTGTATATGAATCTCCCTGGAAGGAATGGATGGAAGGGGCAGAGGTTATACCAGTTTATTCTAGACATTTCTGAAGACTGTGACTGACACATGTTGTCAGCGATTATAACTGTTCGAAAGGCTTTCCAGGTCGATTATTGTATAAACTGATGGTTTGTTCGAAAATAAAAAGATACAAAGATATAGACACAGATTTGTTGTGCCTCAACTAAGTAGTGGAACATGAAAACAGCAATTTGTCTGGTTTGAAGATGCCTGAAGAGACATTACTTCCATATATGGTATTCAAGGGCCCAGAATGGCTAGTGGTATGGTCCAGGTGTTGCAGGGATCCTTTTGATGTTGTCCACACTGCATAGAAGTGAGGTCAATTGATGTAGGAGACAGACTTATGAATCATGATGAAGTAGGTCTCATAAATATTCAAAAGCATGCCTCCTGTCCATTTAGTAGTAAAAAAATATATCAACTGCCGAAAGGCTTTTTGTCAATTATGTAAGATGTCAAAGTGATAACTTAAAGGTTCATGTGCATTTGGAAAAGGCAATAATTAATGTGTCTCAAGGAGGCATAGTGATGACTGAAGAGAGGCCCATGTCAAACTTAGAACTACATGTTGTGACAGCATATGTATTTTATTTCTAATCACACTCCACTTTTAACCAAAATCTGTTACCCACATAATTCTCACAGTGTACTCCCTTTCAACTCTTGTGGTTTTGCAGTTTTGATTTAAAGGTTCTGCATTTCCCTCCCAGCCCTGTTGCCTTGCTACATGTACTCACACAAACTGCCAGCCAGCAAACATGTACGAAGTGTAACATGTCACAGCGACTTGGTTTACTGCATCTAAGTGCCACATAAATCTTACATTCTTCCCTGATAAACTCTGCATTCTTGCCTCTTGGCCCACATCGCCACTTCCCAATCGGGAAGAGCAACTTGACTTTGTCCCTTCTAGCTTACAGTATTTCTGTGAAATCTTTGTATAAATAACACGCGAAGATGTGTGAGATATTTTGTCTCAAAGCCATCGGCAGTGTCACTGGTGTTAATGACTTGTGAAGGGGAGAACTATAACATCTGTATACCCACCACAGCTGTCGTCTAACTGTCATGTTCACTTTGACTGGGCTTTGAGATGGGTGTCTGGGAATGTATCTTTTGCCTGATAATAATGCTGCAATCATTTGCTAAACTTATGGAGCGAGTCAGTGGGAAATCGTCAGCTGTGGTTGTAAATTATCCACCAACATGTCATCTCAACTGCACTCTTACCAGCCAAGTGGAATGAAAGTACATGTAGTCCCATTCTTTTTAGATTACAAAGCCAGCAATTACTAAATCATACAACTGACAAGAATGCACTTAGGTGTTTGCTGATATATATATATGTCGAAATTATTGTGGAATAACATTAATGTGTCTACTATTTAGCTGACAGATCTAGAATTCCATTTAAACGTTTGTGGAATGGATTAAATAAATAAAAGTGTCTTCGTTGATGGTGGAGTGTCTGCAAAGTAATGCGCTCCATGTTAGCAAAATTGCTGTAATTGTCAGGTTTGAACTTGACCCATGTCCTGTTCATCACCATCTTGTACCCCTCAGCAGTACATGACATCCTACACCTTACATGACATTGTATGTTGACTATTGTTTGTTGACGACATCATTGCTGTTTCCCCCAGGCCTGTGCCCTGACTGGGAGGACTGGAACCCCAATGACAAGGTGAAGAACTGTAACGAGGCCATGGACCTGGCTGACAAGTGGCTGGGAGTGCCCAAGGTAAGCTTACTTGTAGATGGAACTAAGATACACATGTATGTACAATATAATTGTAATTACTGCATGTCCTTTGAAGTTTCACTCTAAAACTCCTCATTGTCCTCTTGTAAAACTTTAGGTATGTAGGTATTTTTGTAGTCTAATCAATGTTGATAGTCTGACATTAAACCAGATAGTGAGTTTGTAGCATTTGTTATCTTGTCTGACATCTATCTTTCCTCCTCAGCTCCTGAGCCCAGAGGACATGGCCAGCCCCCATGTGGATGACCTCAGTGTGATGACCTACGTCTCACAGTTCCCACAGGCCAAACTCAAGCCTGGCGCTCCCCTCAGACCCAAGACTAACGCCAACAAGGTAGGAAATATGTAATATCATTGTACATTGCCTTACAGTATATGATGATGCACCTCTGTTTCATTTTGGAGTCAGTCCAGGAAGAGATGCTTAGTGTTTTTGTGTCAGGTTGTTTCGCCAACAGAGCAATCAGATCTGAAACAGGATTTAGCTGTGGTTTCCAACACATACAAGAAAATTTTGCCTGTTTGTGTGCAGTCCACCACTTACAAGTGTTATAAATCACATTTAGATCCTGCTTCAGAATGAATTCTATCAATACAGATGTACTTTCAAGAATGATGATATTAACAGCATATTGACATCAAACAGTGACACTTTGCAACACTTTATTTCTTAAGGGTTAAGGGTTTATGTTAGTGTATACATGATGTACACAGTACATCTATATATGCTCTTTTCAATCTTCATAACGTCAACTGTACCATTTATCCTAACAGGTCCCACTAGCACAAGCAGCACAGCCACATAAGGTCAACAGCAATATAGTCACCATCAGTTGTCTGAAATGGTTTTAAGATTGAATTTAAGAAGGATGTCTTTTTGTATGCTAAGTTTCAAGGAATGGTCTGGAATTTTGTGATGTTGATGAGTTTGTTGTTAAGTTGGATGCGAGACATAGTTGTAGTGTGCTATTGATTGCTAGATCATAGAGATCGCTGTTGCACGAGTGTGGAGTACACTAGGAGAATGTGTGGAGGATTGTATGATATAAAATACCCCCAACCCAATAATCCCCCCCCCCCTTTATCCTAACATTAGTATCCCTCTAGAAGCCTGTGGAACAAGATTTCCCCCTCCCCGCATCCTGACATTGATGTCATCCCTTTAGAATTAAGCATCATGCAAAATCATCCATGGTTTATGATGTGCTGGGTTGCCAAATAGTCTCTACCAACTGGTCAAGGTTTTTAGCTTGATTATCAACTGTATTTGGGCCAGTTCTCAAAACTTTTTTGACTAGGAAGTCTGGTAGAGACTAGTTGTCAAACATAAGTTGTATCTTGTTGGATCTGTATGTTAACAAGGTGGGTTTGCATGTTGCTGTTCAGGTGCGCGTCTTCGGCAAGGGCGTTGAGGCTACAGGTAACCAGGTGGGCAGCCCCGCCCCGTTCACCATCGACACCTTCAGCGCCGGCGGCGGAGACATCAAGGTGACCGTGGAGAACCCGCGCGGCAAGCAGGACCAGTTCAAGCTGGAGGAGAACCTGAACAAGGCCAAGACCTACACCTGTACCTACACACCTACCATGGAGGGCACTTATGTGGTAAGTAATAATTCACATGGCATAGCAGTGTTACCATAGTGTCAGCCTGCATATTTTGCTCTCTGATGGGGAAGTAGTGCTGTGTACCAGATTGCTGGAACTAGTTTCAGACTTGTAAAAATGTTTACTTTTGTTAAGGTTCAAGTCCTAAACCTCTGGACTTGAATCTGGCCCTGGACCTGAATGTGGGTGTAGGTACACAGAACTACGGGGAAGTATTTTATGTTGTCTCTTAAATCATTTGTTCAGAATATGCAAGATGCAAAAACAAAGACTTGAAGTAACAAATTTAAGCTGCACCTACAGTCTTTTTCATGATGCCATTGACACAAGGTTGAAGGACTTTGCTTTTGATGGGTTAAAAGTTTTAACATAAATCATGGTACCTATCAACACAAATGAACTTCCATGCTAATCTCAAAGGTTAGCTTTTGTAAACATTCTTTGTACAGCTGTTAGCCTCAAGGCCATGAAACAGATACCTGTTTAGTTTGGCTTAATTCCGTTTGCTTTCTTTACAAGATCTCTAGCCTTCATGTGAGATTATATATCATTGGTGACATGGTCTCTTGACAAAAGTACAAAAAAAGAAAAAATAAACGAATCTGTGCTAAAGCAACAGAACAGCAACAGAATTCGGAAACTACACAGAATATCAAAAATGAAAAAAAGATGCTTGCAAAATAATACCAGGTGGCCAAATCTAGGGGGTTAAAATCATCTTTATTCCATACAAGATGAATGACATATTAAATACATAGCTAAAAACCTAGGACAATCCTTTGTCTCATGTTTAGGTAACAAGAGGAGGACGCAAGGTGGACAGATAAAAATACAATATACTAGTCACTGTGTGCATCGGACATACAGACGTTCTCTATTAAAAATTGCCATATATAATTATAATTACGGGTACATTATATAACAATTACAATTTAGAGTTCTTAAAAAAGACAGCAGCTAAATTTTACATCTAATTTTTACAGTAGAACAATCCTGAAGTGCATTCCCAAGCAGGCGTGTTTCTGGCCTAAGATGACCTAATTTAAAGGAATGAAATGAAATATATGCTGCTTTTGTGATGACAGGTGAAGGTGATATTTGCTGGCAAGGAAGTGCCCAAGAGCCCCTTCAAGGTGGGCGTGGCAGCTAGCAAGAGTGATCCCAGCAAGTGTTCGGCCAAGGGACCCGGGCTCGAATCCGCCGGCGTCGTCGCAAACAAGGCGACTTACTTTGACATCTTTACAGCAGGTGAGAAACCAGACTAGAAAAAAATCAGTCCACTATTACTAATTTTCACCATACCTATATTTTTGTTGTTTTTTTTTGTATGTACTAATTGTCCTTTATGTTCAGTTTGTTGTCAGCAAAATATGCATGAGAGTCAGTGTGTGCAGTATTTAGGATGTCTGCCAACTTTTGTGTTGTGTTGTCTGGCACTTACTACATGTATGTGAGAATACATGTACATGGTAGGTTTCAGCGCACAAAATATTCCTAATGTGATTTTCACAACTTAGCTTCACTCCGCGTGTATTAACATCCTTCAGTATTTTGTGCACACGCTCAGATGATTGGCTCAGCCACTTGCTTGTCAATATTGTCTTTGTTGCACTTGAAGCTCCCAAATGGTACACATGTACATGTGCCTCAGTGAGTCAGTGTACTAGTCTAAGAAGTATTGTACAAAAGGCACCCCTATGTGTACAGCCATGTATCTGCACAGCTAGATTCATTAATAATGACATCAGCAATGCTTCTTTGGTGTTCTCTTGCCCCTCCTCCTCACACACTGGGTGCGGTTTTTACTTCTCACTGAATGCATGACTGTTTTCTGTTGGCTGGCTTGCCTGGACTGAACCAGTCGGTGAAGATGCCGGTCTTGTGCGAACCAAAGCCGCCCGTATGGAACAAACGCACAATGGTAATCATAAAACAACGGTAAAACGTAAAAATGGATCTCAGAGCAGAAAATGCTAGTAATACTACTGGTACTGTAACAGAAGAAAGGTGCCTAATCAGATGTTGCCAGCTTTCACACTTACTACAGTATGCTTATTAGCTGATGCAGCATGCCTCCTCTGCAGATTGTCGTTACATATTCTGTTCAGTGCCTGCTTCTATTCTAATTTATGCATGTTGTTTTTTTCCTAAACATTTAGCAATACATGTGTCCAGTATAGATGACAAACAGTTAACATATGTCTTTAGTTAATATTGTTGTTCAAATATACCGGAAACACAGTAATACTTGTATATGTACTAATCTTGATGATGTTACTGGCAGAAAGAGTATTATTACAGTCTTAATAAGGTAGTAAGTTAACTTACTTAAATGTAGATTTTGTCTTCCCTATAGATCTATAAACCGCATGATTTGGAGGATAACTTAATAGTCATACCACCGACAGAAGTCTGACTTGTGTTTAAAAAAGACAGTAGTATACATAGCAGTAGTTTAGTAAATGTTCTTGACAATGTGTTTTAAACATTGGTGTCCTGATTGACCCCTTGTCCTCTCCTCTATTAGGCTCTATTAGGTCTCCCCTCTTCCCTCCTCTAGAAAAGGGCCCAGGTAACTCGATTGGCAGCACCTTTCTCCCACCCTGTCCTCATCTTATTCTGCACTGACCACTCAACTCTCCCACTTCTTCCTGCACTGTAGTGTTGTGAATTGAGCTTGTGGAATCTTTTTTTTTTATTACAAAGACTTCTACACCAACTATCCCTTCTCTAGATCTTTGACCTGAAAACAAAACCCCCCTTTTTTTCTGAAAAGTTGTTTGCATTGTTCCTGTGAAGCATGGTTTGTGTATGCACAAAATCACCAAAACAGGACACCATCATTCAAGATCATAGGAGAACTCTTTTCTACAGACTTTGCATCTGAAAAATGAATAACTAGAAGATGGGAAGGAATGTTTAAGAAAACATTTTCAAAAGGGTTGTTTGCCAAGATTGCATCGTGTTCTCTAAGAGTTACAAGATTGCATCTTGAAAGACTGTTTGTAATAACTATATAGATTCTGACACATGATGTTTTTTTGGTTCCCCGTACATTTGACTATAGGTTTTCTATCATCACATGCACAACATGGAAACATCTGCACCAATCTTCTTATGTGTTCTTTTTTTTCAGCCACTGTTGTTTTCTTTGTATCTCTCTTGCAAACAAGCCTATGTTTGTTTGATTGTTTTTTGTTTATTTATACGATTACACCTTACTTTCCTTATTTTTTCCCCACAGACTGTTACCATTGTCATTGACTGTGCAATACCCTGTGAAAGTCACTTCTTTCCCTCAATGTCACATACATGTACAAATCTTGTGACTACAGGTTTTTCTTCCCCACAAGTTCACACCCAAGTCAAGTTACTTTTAAATTTCACACAAAGATCATGGATAATTTTTTCTAACTACATGTTGACCTTCGAACCCAAGGTGCTGGGCCTGGCGCTGTGAACGTGGTGATCGCCGACCCAGACGGGAAGACGAACACGGTTCCCGTGGAGATGGAACAGACGGGTGACGGACAGTTCCGCTGCACGTACAAGCCCCTGAAGATGGGCATCCACACCATCACCATCACCTTCGACGGCAGCAACATTCCAAAGAGCCCCTTCAAGGTCCACGTGGCCATGCGTAAGTCTGATGATGTCTTACAGCTTAGAATTAATTCAAAGTGTGTGAAACTAGAATTATTCAATATCAAGATAAGTAATATATGGTTTATTGGTGGTAAAAACATCCTTTTTACTTTGAGTCCACATGTTCATGGTAAGTTTGATGCTCTCTTACAGCTTAGGATTATACTTTGATGTGTTGTGAATCTAGATCTTCTTCAAAACAATGGAGGTTGTTGTATACTTCTACTTTTTCTTTGATGCTTGGTGTGGTTAGACTGCGTTTCCTTGATATGTAAAATATGCCTAAAAGAATACTATGTAAAAGGCCACAATATATCCCTGGCTGTTCAGGGACAAAGAACTAGATTTCCTTTGATCTATTTGTTCTCAAAGGTTTCATTTTGAAAACTTCAATGTCATTTCTGCATTTCTGGGATGCCCCTTAGTTTTGTGAACCAACTGCATTAAAATAACATATGGGATGACAAATTATATAAAGGACAGAACCCTGCTTTGACCAATGCTGACTAATACATGTATATGATGTGAAGGCATTTTAAAGACTTGGCATGTGCTGAAAATATATACCTACCATGCAGCTACACACTAAGCCGTATATTGAAATCACATACATTTGTAAAATAGAGCTCCTTAAATGTATAATTGTTTTGCATCATGTAACAAAATTTCACTGTATTGCATTGCTTATAGAGCTTGAGAATAACATTTGAACAAGAAATCTACATGTAACAGTTTGTTTAAGTCTGTTGCTTGATCATCAGTGCACAACAGCAATCCTATAACAGAGTGCAGACTAAAGTTCAAGGTGACCCAAGTTCTCACTGACATGTACATGACATTGTAGCTAACGCCTTCATGCATGACCTCCTCATGCTGTTACTGTTAATTGGCAGTGTGATGTGCCCATGGCTTTGCCTAATGATTTAACCACTAACAGCCGGTCCCAATCTGCCTGTGACCCATAGCAAAAGAAGACCCAGCCTCTGACACAGGAATGCTTATAGACTTTGGCGAGGAGTCACCACCCAAAGGGAGTACACAAAAGAAGGAAAGTCCCCCAGCGTTCTCACAAGACCTGCTCCTGGACGATGGTGGGAGTCTCGGCACTAAATCTCCCTCTGACCCTCTCTCTAACCAACAAGCTCTTAAACCTGACTCTAGCCAAGACCTGCTGGGGCTTGACTCTGAACAGTCTGAAGAAGATGAGGATGGTAATTGTATGACGAGCACACGTGGGGGATGGAGGGTGTTAAGGAAGGAAAGGATGGGTTATGGTCGGTTGGGTGGTAGCGGGACACCTCGGCTGATACACAATGCTATTCTTACTTACAGGCTTGCTTTCTTTTCACTGGTCACTTTAAATTTGGGAAGATACAAAAAATTTTGAATCATGAATGTTGTACTTAAGCCAAAAGTTTGTAGGAAGGAAGTATGCTCTCTCGTATAACAGGTGAAATTTTACTGTCCAACAAAGAAGAAGCTAAAACCAGGGCTTCGGAAAAATGGCTCCCAATTTTCAAGTGACCAGTGATACACCTACAATTCTGCACTTTCCTCCTCTCCTATCAAGTCTCTTATTTGCTCAACGTTGTAACAGACGTCTCTCTCTTTCTCTCTGTGTCTTCCCTTCCACCTTCCATGTGTTTCTCCTGTGTCCATGCGTGCGTGTATGTGTGTGCTGCCGTCGCTGTTCTCGCCACAGTAATTGTAGAAAAGCCCACGGCTAAAATCGCTCCCCAAGCACAGGCTGTCCCCCAACCTCCTCCGAAGCCAAAGAAACGTACGAGCTGCACTGCTATCTCTGAGTGTGTATCATACTGACCTAAGTATGACCTCTGCACCTTGCAGTCACTTAGCGGACATATATACTTGTACATCGTCCCTAATGTAGTCTGGCAAAATACAAAAGGTCTTGAGAAAAAAACAATTACAGACTCTGTATCCTGTTTCTGCCTCGACTAGTACGAACCATCCCTGGTGTGAAACGTGTGCAAAATTCTAGTTTTCGTTGTGGCATATGTGTTTGTGTATAGATGTATGTTTGCATGATGTTGCATTTTCCATTGGTTGCAACACCAAGCCTTCCTTTGTTTGCCCATGGAACATCCATTCCTCTGTCCTTTCAGTAGATGTTTGTTGCTCTAGTCTATATGTTCACGTCTAGTCTGGTTAAACCTGCTGTTAAGTTTAGTGTGTAGATGGTGGCAGCAGTGAAGGGGTCGGTACATGTATGTTGACGGTGTTTGGTTTGTTATTCACAGGTTGCATGGCTTCTTTTTTTTTTACTTCTCTTCCTTCTTTTCAGGATGTTCCTTCAGTGGTGATGCTGGCTTGTAGTGAGGGTAATGCAATGAAGACATGTTGCATGTAGTTGTATGTACTGCCTTGTACTGGTGGTGTTCTGGGTTATGGTCTAACAATGGAGAACAAGGCCCACCTTTTGGTTTGTATTGATTATGGTTTGTTTCACGTTTTTGCAGCTGTGAATGCTGCAGCATGCAGAGCATATGGACGGGGTATCCAAGCCCGCGGTGTTCGCGCCAAGGAGGTAGCAGACTTCCGTGTGGTGACCAAGGCTGCTGGGAAGGGAGAACTGAAGGTGTCCGTTATCGGACCAGGTAACCTTCCTCTTTCCAAAGAAGTTTAATACTCATTTGCTGGGCTGATGTTTCGATAACTCTTCAACTACTATCCCCAGGTTACTAATGGAAGTACAAGAGTCCATTCAGGTCCTGAGGAAGGTACAGTAACTGTACATTGAACTGATCATGAGGAGTTATCAAAACATCAGCCAGGTGGATGAATAGCATCAGCCAAGTAAAGGAATATCAGACTTTTATATTGTCTTGTTGGCAAAGTAACTTTAGGTAAATCAAGAACCTTGTTTTCCAATAACATTACCAATCTGATGAAGCTATTTGTGGATTAAAACTCCCTGTCATTTTTGGATTACATAATGTTGGAACACGTGTTGATTGCAGGTGGCATGGAGATGCCAGTGAAAGTGGCAGACCAGGGTGATGGTAACTACGCCTGCCAGTACCGGCCAGGCAAGCCTGGTGTCTACAAAGTCAACATCACGTTCAGTGGACAGCACATCCCAAAGAGCCCCTTCACCGTCAACGTGGGTTCGGAGGCTAAGCCGTCCCGGATCCGGGCGTATGGACCCGGCCTGGAGGGAGGCCAGGTCGGCCACCCTGCTGAGTTTGTAGTAGAGACGGCCGGAGAAGATATTTCAGGTCTAGGTGGGTATGAAGCGACCAAAGGACTAGGTGGGTATCAGAAAAAAGGGCATAAATCAATGGAAATCCTAAGAGGTGGTGAGTCTAGGTGACCCATGGCCATGTACTTGGTAGGTACAGGAACACGCAAGTGCAAATTCAGCCCTTTTCCTCGGGTGTCGGTGAATCCTCTCCCAAATTTTACACCTTTCATTTTATTAACATCCCCCTTCCCCTTATTCATACCCTTATTATTTATTGACCTAATTTCTAATTTTGGGTGAAATCCCCTCCCCCTCAGTTGGCCTAAACACCCCTTCCCCTTGGGTTTTCATTGACAAGTGTATGAGGTGTGATGACATATAAACTAACTTGGGGTTGACCCCCTATACCACCCCATCTTGTGCTGTGGTGGTGCAGGTAAGGTGTTCGCTAACACTGCATGTGGTGATGGTTGTTTTTAATGCATGTGGTTTTCAGCATGTCAGCATGTATCATTATCATTTCATATTCATCTGCATACTGTTTATGCATGAAATAAACAAATCTATTGGTTTTTCATTTTGTTTTATTACATTTCATGATGCCACTATGACTTACTTAATACCAACATTGCTTGATGCCACTGCTTTCATTCCATGATTCATGCATTCTTTGATTTCATCAATTGACATTCTAAATCTTCTATTACCATGTGTGATTGTTCACTCAGAACATCATTAATTTTACCAACTGAACATCAACAAATCCATTCTTCCCTCGACCAATCCCTTTCCAAATAACGCACAGTTTGGCGGTGGGTTTCTGGGTGGTGTTTTTGGCTTTAAAGCATGAAGTGCTGGTTTGTCTAGAGGCTTACCTAGTGTTCAGAAAGAAACAATCTTTGTCCTGGTAAAACTACATGAGGAGGATAGCAGTTAGAGCCTAGCCTGGCTACCAAACCTATTATAGCTCCCAAGTCCTCTGGCAGAGAGAATGTAGGACTCGGGAGCTATAATAGGTCTGGTAACCAGGCTAGTTAGAGCCTGCATGATACATAATCACAATGGGTCACTTTTTGCTGTGGCAGATACTGTACTTTTAGGCTACAGCTATAGCTGTAGGTTAACCCAATTGGCTGTGCACGTGTTAAGTAGTTATTTATGCTGATACTATTAGCATATTGTAGATGCTGCCTTTCCAAAGCTGAATTGCAGAATTTGTTCTAAAAAAAAAACAGGTTTTTCCATCGAGGGGCCATCACAAGCCAAGATAGAATGCCATGACAACGGAGACGGTTCGTGTGACGTGGTGTACTGGCCAACCGAGGCTGGGGAATATGCAGTCCACATCGTAACAGACGATGAAGACATCGCTAAACAGCCCGTACATGGCACAGATCAGACCTCAAGACAAGAAGTTTACACCTGGACAGGTAGGGGGCATTATTTCCTAATCTCCAAGCAGATGTACATGTAGGGTCCCAGTCAGTGATTTATGCATATTTTTGAGGTCAGGCTAAGAGATGAAATAATAGTCTAAAGAGATATTAATTAAAAAGCCTAAAACTTTGGTATGCTTAAAACACTCACTATATATTAGTTTGGAGATAATCTCTTCTTCTTTACCAAACTGGAGAAGACAGGTATCACCGTATCAGTGTTCATGTGTATATACATGTAACACATACATGTGTATATACATAATTATGTGAATAATAGTAACTGTACATTATTTCGTAATGAAGGTGAAAGCCTATGGACCAGGACTGGAGAAGACCGGCATCATTGTTACCTCTTTGTGTTTATGTTAACATACATGCACATACATGTAATTTAGTGAATAACAATACATTATTGTATAATGAAGGTGAAAGCCTACGGACCAGGACTGGAGAAGACAGGCATCGTTGTCGGCCATCCCATGGAGTTCACCGTGGACGCCAAGAAGGTGGCAGCGGGCCAGCTGCAGATCTGGGCGTACGACCAGGAGGCGGAGAAGCTGGACGTGAAGGTGCGGGACAACGGCAACAAGACGTACACCTGCACGTACACGCCGCTCAAGGCCATCCGCTACACCATCGACATCTCCTGGGACCAGGTCAACATTCCCAACAGTCCATTCAGGGTAAGTGTCTTTTCTGAAAATTCCAATATGTCCATATCTTCAGCATACTGAATTAAGTTGCAAAGTCTTTTGTAATAAGTTATAATTTTGGGATTTTTGGCAATGCACCTAATGTTCTTAATTTTGAAGCCTCTAGACTGTCACAGTAGTTAACAAGTGCACGTACCATAGCACTTAAAGGCTTCATTGAAGGAGATGAAATTGTTATTTTCATTATGATAAATGTAAATGAAAGTTAGCTTAAATGTTTAGAAAAAAATCATAATACACATGTAATAAATATTCTGTTGGACTTCTGTTTGATAAAATGGTGCCTTCTTTTCCAGTGCATGAAAAGAACAATGTTTGCCTGTGTTTGTAGGTGCATGTTGCAGAGGGTAGCTACCCCAACAAGGTGCGTGTGTATGGCCCTGGTGTGGAGAAGACTGGCCTGAAGTCTGGGAAGCCCACACAGTTCACTGTGGACTGCACAGAAGCTGGCAGTGGTAGGTACACATGTACACAATGTACCAAGTGTGCAATGTTCTCATGCCACCCAGTGGCTCCAGCAAGTACTGCACCTTTGAAATTGTGTTATCTGCTTCTTAATCGAAGTAATGCATGATTGTATACAGTGTAAACAGGCCCAGACAGTTGCCTGTATTAAAAAATTAAGGTGCCTTTTCTTATAGAGGCAATGAAATGAAAAGTTCTACATACTCAATGTACATACTCAATGTACATTTTGATTTGATTTGAATTATTTTGCATAAAGTAAAATTGAAAACATGTCACAACATGTACAAAATGTGTTACCAATTACTCACAGTAGTAGGCCAGAAATACCACCAAATCTCTCCCCTAAAATTCTACAGATTCCTCTGCACAAATGTCCCTGCCTTTTATAGGCCTGTTCACCATTGGTCTGAACTAACCGTGGAATTAGGAGCCTAACGAACCCAGCAGATGTTCCCTGTCTGGAAGATAAGCGCTTCTTATCACGTCTTAAGAATCTGAAGTGTCTGTCCAACGACTTACAAGAGGTCTGGCATTGAAGGACATGTTCAAATTGCAAAATTGAGACAAAAATAAGTATCTATTTGGAGAGAGGTGTGATTCATTCCAATAGGGTCAACATTTTTGTATAATTTCCTAGAAGCAGAGTTTTGTGAATTAAAGTTAAGGCCATGCATGAATGCTATTGTATCTATGATTACACAGTAAACAACACAATTCTCAATACTTAACTTTACATTGTACCTATGCCACCACTCTGTTGCCTAATATACTAATTGCAACAGCTAGCTTAGCATGGTAAAAATTGACTTATCCTTATACATGTACATGTAACGTTACTTAACAACCTCAGACATACAGCATATATTTTCTAGCATTACTAAAACCTGTGTGTAGAAATAATGGCTGTACTGGCTCTACACACTCGCTGCACTTGGCTAATAATACTCCAAGCAGATGTTGGGATAGAAAGTGATAACGTTCTTCTGAATGCCCCAGGTATGCAGGACTGAAGAATGTCACATTTTTCTATCACAATGTCTGCTTGGAGAATATCCCTGGCTCCTGCCCGTCCCAGTGGATATGGGAGTCAGGATGCTGCTGTCTGGGGCTAAAGCACTGTGTCTTGTTTGTGTGTCCCCAAACCACCAGCATACAGGGTGAGAAGGAAAAGGCTCACAGCTTTAGAGTTGTACGTAGAGCATTTCTGGGAGCTCTTTCAGGGCAAGGCCAACTCCAAATTGGACGACGCAGCTGTAGCTGGTATGGTACAATCCTCACCCAGCCTCAAAATCAACTGTCCTGGTATATGCGGCTGTCTGCACTCCATTGTAACATCTAACGCTCTGGGGATGGACATTTTTTCTATTTCCAGTCACAACGGATTCTTTCGTGGCTGCTGAGAGTCATACTCCTTTATCCACATTGTAAAACAATACCAACTTTATCACTCTTTCATAATATGTTAGAAAAATTCCCTGTGACATTTGTAGTTAGTTTCCTTCAATTTTACACGTCCCTTCCTTAGGCCACACCAA